TAATTTCTACAAACTTATGACAAAATACTCCAAAATATTTTAGGACACATCATACTAAATGATTATACAGGTTTCTAGCCCAGCTCATCAACCTCTAATATCATTAATCTATTGTGATCTGCCTAAAATATAGACAAAATTTGGAATGTTAAAGTGATTTTACCTGAAACTTGAAAAATGAGTTAAGTTCTCATATCAGGGTCTTCAATTAATAGTCATTGCTGATATATAATTATCTTCCCAGTTATTCAGATACCATCTAATGAGCCACATCATCAAGAGACAAAATGAAGGCTAATTATAATTTTCGACCTTCGACTGTAAAGTAATTCAAACATCTGGTTTTAGCAGATCATTCTACCATACTTAGAAAATAGTGGTTAAAGTTTAAGGACATCCACTCCTTTAAATGGATACGGTCCCATGCAAACACATTTGAAAATCATTTAGGAGGTTTCGACTGTCTATTAAGCCTCAACTCCCTAAACTATACAACCTTGCCTCTAACCCTAAAAATTGTTGATATGAATTTTTGTTAAAGCAAACTACCTACTGTTTCCCTAGTAATTTGTACTAACGCAAGCAGACTGTATGTTGATATTTCTATCATCTCACACTATATAGAAATTCAAAAAACTTTCGAGCAAATGAGAAAGTCCTATATCTGTACAAGAAAAACAAAAACGTTACAAAATCTAATTTTAAAAATTCTATTCAATTAAAGTTTAAAAATAATTTTAATCAAGCATTAAAATTCTACTTTAAAATTTAAATGATTTGGAAAAAATTTAAAATCTTATTATTGGATAAAACTAAACTTTGAATATTCAAACACCCATTAGAAAGTTGATTTTAAATTTGTGAAAAGAAACAATCAAGCAGTTTAAAAAAGTTTATAAGGTTAATAATGTTATAACTGAGTAATAAGAATTTTATATAACTTAATTTCAAAAAACATTTAAATATCTAAACAATAATATTTAAAGGATATTTAAATATCCTTTTCTATTTAAAGTTCTTAATATAAACTTTTAGAAAAGGTCTTTGTATACAAAGAACTAATAAAAATAAAATTTTGTATAAAGTTTTGAATCTAATTAATACAGTATATGCTGATACATTATAATGTGTAAAGTATTTGAAATCATTGCTACACTAGAATAAAATTATGTCAAATATGCAATTAAAATATAAAAATTTAGATATCATCCATTGCATTTGTACCTAAGTGGTCAAATAAATTTATTCATAATAAAGTTAATATTTCAAAATTTTAAAAAACGATTGATTTTTTAAAAATGCAGAAAAGATTTTATATGGACACACACACAAACAAACAAAAACAAACAGTTATATTTAAGCAACGATGACTTATTTACATCAGCTGCAAATTTATTTTAAATGAAACTATTTTTGTACTAAGTATTTCGAAGTATATTTTTACGAACAAATATGTTGTTTAAACAATTATTGTTAATTTAACCTAGTTTTAAGAGAATTTGAAATTGAACTACTTTTATAACCATTTTCTACAGTACAGATTGCTAACAAAATTGAACATTTTCATATCATGCAAATGAGTAATTATATTAATAATAATCCATGTATTTTAATCTATGGTTTGATATTTCTACAAGAAAATTCATCTCCAACTAGATTTACAAAATTACGGTATCAAAATATTAATTACACTTTTATATCTATTTTTTCTATTTAAGCTATCCAAATGCAATGCTATGACATGGGTTTCAACATAAGAATTTGATAGTTTTCATGTTGGTTAACACATCCTACTATCTACATATGGTGCTGGCTCAATGGAAACTTGTACCCGAGGCAAAGCTGATTTTTGCCATTCCTGCTTCCAGAACAATTGCCAATACAGAGCATTTTTAGTGCTGGCACTGTTGTATGAACTATTTATAAATAACTCTAGAGTGCATTTTTAGACTTCATTATATTTGGCTTATTATTATTTATTTTCCTCTTTTAATGTTAAAAATAGAAAAAAAATTAATTTTTGACCACTCATTTTGCCTTTTACACCACCCATCAAGCCTGCCCTGTCTAAATAGAATCTGACATTTATATAATAATCATAGCACCTATCATATCCATCATATCAAACATTGGAACTCTTATATGTTCTGTAAATTTGCAAAATAAATCTAATCACACATTTTCTTTTGAAACAAAAAACAAACTAGTAAAAAATAGAACTTTTCCAAAAAGCCTGCAGAAAATTAATAATTAAAGCTTCAATAACTTATTTTCAGCATTAAGCAAAATATCACCTGTATTAGAAATGATGTTCTGAAGATAAACGTAAAGAAATTAAAAATAAAGTTGCAGGTTTAAAGTTTTAACATTTTCAACATGTCTTAGTCATCTTCAAATTCAAAAACAAATCTACATTATAACTTTGAAGTGCAGAGATGATCGTTTAGTTAAGTTATGGCAATGCAACACTTGGGCGATTGCCTTTCAGATTTTTTTAAGGTAACTGGTTCCTATTTGAGCTTTACAGATTTGGAGAAGACTCTGAAAACTCCATGTGGTCAGCCCATCCTTGCAAGGTTTCACGACCGAATTCCCAGTGTTCAGGAAAAGGAACTGCTTGGCCACTGATGGGCTGCCCGAAGATGACAGTTTAAGAAAATTGAAATTGTTCTTAAATAAATTGCTGGTTTAAGATGTCTTTATTATTGATTTAACCAGTTTTTTTTTCTTCATATACCATATTTATTCTAACTAACAGTGTCCTTTAATAGCAAGTGCAACTTACAATAAGAGTGACAATGCTGAAACAGCATAGCTGTAATAAACAGCTGTGCTGTTTCAGCATTGTCACTTTTATTGTAAGTTGAAATAAAATGCAAGTGTTGAATGTTGCATTGTTCAAATAATAAAATGGAAAAAAGATACTGAATTTGTATACTGTTAATAGAGAGGTTGAGGCACACGTTTTAAACGTGTAAACGTGTACGTGTGACGTTTGGAGCCGCTTTCCCATAAGCCTAAAAGTTTGACGATGGTGTTTGGGATGTCGAGCGTGATTTCACCGACTATCCAAACATCATTGTCAAACTTTTAGGCTTACGGGAAAGCGGCGCCGAACGTCACACGTACACGTTTACACGTTTAAAACGTGTGCCTCACCTCTCTAATAGTTGCCTTCAAGTAACAGTTTCATCCAATTCCTAGTGTAGAAATAGTTACCTTCTAATAAAGCATTTGCAAGCTGAAAAAGTTAGACAGTAAACTGTTTATTAGGTTCAGGTTTATTTGTTTACAGCAACACAACATACAGGTGATCTGCTGAAGAGAATGACTCCCGAGAGGGTCTTCTATGGGAAACTGACCCATATGTACCTAATATGAAGAAAACCCAGACAATTCCATGTGGCCAGCCCATTGACAAGGTGCAAACCCACAACCAACCAGTGGGTTCAATTCTGAATGAGATGTTTTGGATCTTATCAGAGCTGCTGTAGAGCATATCTATAGGAGCAAAACAATCAACTGAACAATACTTCTACAAGACTCATCGTGAGATACAGTCCTCAAAAATCGGGTCGCACGAGATCGCATTAATCTGCTAAGACTATTGCATTTAACTATTTAGCCCATGCCACTATGCTGGCTTTAAGTCGTCCACTCGACTGTTTGCGGAGTACGGTTTTACAAGAGTGTGAGGGCCTGACTACCAGACGCCGAGGTGCAAGCAATAGCGAGCACCGAAGCACATAACTACATGCAGTGTCAGTCAAGGCTCGCTATTGATCACACCTTGACAGTGCAGAGGGTATGGAAAATAGGCAGTGTACTGATACATGTTAAAAACTGACCTTTTGAGGCAAATGTCTCAAGAAGGATCATACGTTCAGGTATGGCTCCAGTGATTTTTCTGTTCATGCAAGGGAGTCTACAATTCTGGGGCATCGAAAAACCCCACATTCGAAGCTTGAATCTTACCAACCAGCGTTCGGTGGTTTTATCTGCTCGGCCACTGGTGGGCAATTGGAATAAATAGAACATCTTATTAACACATCTGAATAAAATATCAACAAAGAAACAAAGATTGCTAATTTAACAAACATTTAAACCATTTTCTCATACAGTAACAACACCATCATCCGTATACGTATAAGTAAACAAACAAAAATTTATTTTTGAATATTCTAAGATTTGTAATTTAAAAGTTGTATATGTCAACATTCTTCAAATTTGATCTCTTTTTCAAATTCCCATTTAGAATTTGATTACGTTGTACGCTCTAATTTTTTCCATTTGTCTGCCCGAAGACGGCAATGTACTGTCAAAAGCACTTAAAATTTTTGATAAAATAAAAAAAAGTGTTTGCGATGCCAAACGACAATTTTTTGGACTCATTTTACAGTTTGGCATCGAGTGCGCTTCCAGCCCTTTAATGGAAATCTCGACACTCGAAACAAATGCAAAAGAAATTCAAATTTTATATGCAAAATAATTCAACGTCGCGATCTTTCTAAATAAGATGCAAAGTTCGAAGTAATCAACGATAAATATGCATTCACATAATAAAATATCCACATTTCTGTATACACTATTCGATATATTAAAACTTTTTATCACTAATAATAAGCATATCATACAAAAAATGACGTCATACAAGTATTTTAAATTGTATTAATCAATTACAAATTTTAAATTCGATAGAAACCATATAAGGTAGTTTAAAAGCAATATCCAGTCCTCCATATCCAATTAAGGGCATGGGAGTGGCTTTGATTTCAACAATGAGGACATACAATTACTTTCTTTCAAAATTTAACTAAAAATGGCTTGAATATCACAAATGTAATTCAACTACGTAAATATTATTTTTCACACGTAATTTCGAAAATTTTAAAAGTAATTCTATAAGCTATGGAACTCGCATTTCGAAGAAATTAACCAATAGTCGAATTCGATACAAACATTTAAAACATTTTTATCTTGCGGAATTAATTTCGACTTACCGGCAATCTGATCGTCCGAATATGCGGCCTGAAACATTAAAACGATATTTATATAATAAATATTAATTTTAAAACGGTTAAATTTTCTTTAAAGCGATAAACGGGAACTCACCATGTTCAGCGGAAAACACAACTACCGACTTTTCGAAACACTTTTCTAATTACGTCATGTTCTTTAGAGGGCGTTACTAAAAAATGAGACCAAACGATTCTGATTTGTTGGTTTTATTATTTTTTTTAATTATAAATATCTAAAATAAATTTAGCAAATTTTTTATATATTAAAAGCAAACTTAATTATTTTAATAATAATATATAATTAAATGTCACAAAATTGAAACATCGACATCAGTTAATATCACAAAAATATTACGGATTCGTATAGATCGGGCCTGGCCCAAGGTCTTATATTCTAAGACCTTGGGCCTGGCCAATCGAAATTGTTTCGCGGGCCACTTTGATCACGCGTAACATTGGTGGGCCACAATTTACCAAAACACGCTTTTAAAAAAGTAAAACAAATACAAACTAAATAAGATTTTATTGTTATACGAAGAGTTTGTACTCGCACTTGCGCATTATAACAATGACACATGCAAATTTTCATTTATTTAGTTGTTTTGGTATACACATAACGGAAAACGAAAGTTTTAATAGATATATAATATCGCTTAGCGGGCCACACAATTTAACGTGACGGGCGGCGGGTTGACCAGGCCTGGTATAGACTGCGTGCCAAAACCATCAACTCTATGATGCGAAATTTTTTCACGTGCCTACCGAATTTTTGGGAGCATATTATTTGATGTCTGAGTATTTAGAGAACCTTTTCAAATAACCAAACTATAAATCAATCTGCATGTATACACATTAGAAATCCGATAAATTATTTACGAAATACGAAAAAATATATAAAGATATGTTGGATATTTATTTTTTAAGGTGACCCCTTTGGAACGCATGCCAAGAATTGCCCAAGGAACGCCCTAGTCTGGACCACAATGGAAACAACTGGGTGGGGCTAGATGAAAATTTCCTAAGGTTTCGATCCAGATCCGAACGCGAGTTCTCCACAGCGGAAGGCTTACACATTGGATGTGTTCTTTTATTCCTCCGCGTAACTCCGCGCACGCGGCATCCGTTTAAAAATTCTTGCGGAACGCGTTCCTATATTCCAGCCGGAGTGGGTGCCGTGGGACGTCAAAAACGACCGCTTGTGATAGTAGTTTACCATGGAAAGCACCATGACGTCCTCCGTGGCTCGGATAGTTTCGTTTCAGTGTCCATTGTGTAGTTTTATGAATGAAAATTTAGAAGTTGTAAAAGCGCGAATTTACACGGTGATGTAAGTGTCGTCTCTAATTTTTTCTTGGCTACTTCGAATACTCTGTCGGCAAGACAATCCATTTTATGGTTAAATTTTACAATTGAGACCCTTGTTCTAACTTTTCTGTAAAAACGCGTATTTTAAAATAGTGCATCTCTCCATCATACTATCGATAGTAATGGCGTCGCCATCTTTTTTTCACCGTCATTCCCCAAGGACTTTAAACTACAAGGATAGCCAGATCCCGTATATTTGTTAGCGTGACCTTGGATCTATGTGACGTCACAGCAAGTCCTTTACTTCAACACGACAGACCTNGTAAAGAGAGGTCAGGACACGTGCTGACGTCACTAACTTGCCATTCCTGGCTAACATTGTAGAATAGGGATCTGGCTATCCTTGTAGTATACAGTCCTTGGTCATTCCCAAATACCTACAAACAGCAGTGCAGGTCCGTGATGACGGAGACGCGGAGCAACCTCTATTAACGAACGCACCCTTAGGGCTTAGTACAGAGCCTGGGGGTAGCGCTGACCCCTTTTGTCTTTTTTAAACAAATGAAACACTTTGCCATTTATGAAGAAAGAAACATTCGGTCTTAATATTTACATTTAGTAAAAAAAAATTAATAATACTAATTTATAGGAATAAAAACCACTACAGGCCTTTTCTGTACCCGGAGAAAACTCCCGGCTCCTCTCTCGACGGCCCTGCTGACATTATTTCGGCCAACCTGCTGTCAGACATTCATCTCATCGAACGAAAATATCAAGCAATGACAATTATTCCTCTATAAATTAAATTATTTCCGACTTATAATAATCACCGGACTAGAAGTGTGTCGGGTTTTCGCTTAAAAGATCCGAATCTAAAACTATTGAGGTAAATTTTTACCAATTATGGAAACTTTATATAATCGTAGTAAATTGCGATATTAAATATTCGGGTTCCTAATTTTTTAAATAGATTTTTCATGAACTTTAGTTCATCTCCCCCATTGAAGATTAGACATCTGATGCACAATGGAGTCGACACACTTTCAATTATATAACATTTTCAATAATTACAGTACAAAATGCAATATAATTCTAAATAGAAAATTAAGACTGCTTTCATGCGCGCGGTCATTCTATGTTAAAAAAATAACCACTTAATAGTAATTATAATCATCCTTTCTTCCCCTTTGTAGTTTATTTCTATCGTTTACATAGTTTGATAATCTGTAAGTGGGGATTGTTTAAACGTACAGTACTGTACAAATTCTACTTAGACGGAGTCCAAAGCCCTATTGGCTGCAGTTTACAATTGCTGACGTGTAGATTCGATTCACTCAGTCCTTCATTAATAGATGAAAATAAACTATAGGTCCAAATTATATACAAACTTCCGGTTCAACCCGGAAGTCAAGCGGTTTTAAAATAAAGGATTTAAACTGCGTCACAATGTAATTACTGTTTTTAATTTTCAAACTGCCTTATAAAAAAGCCAGTTTGGGTTTAAAAAAATCATGCAATTTAAGAGAATCGTCTAAATTGATGACGTTGTATTTTTATTAAATTGAATCTGTCGCGATAGGTTCGGATTTATCAAGACGTTTAACGTGTCATTAGGGAATTAAAACACACCAAAATGTGCTTCCACTATATTTTATTTCAAATTTTGAAAAATAAAAAACATCGAGTTATTACATAAACTGAAGTCTGAACGAAGAAACATCATTGCAATAGAATTTAATAGAATATTTAAATTTTGACTTAACAGTTCACCACATTGTTGTTTTACACTACATACATATAAATTTTTTTTTTACTTTTACACACTTAATTTCCACCTCTGAGACGCAGAACCAAGTGTAAGGTGGATTCTTTTTGAATATTGTAATCTGAAAGCGTGCGGCCGTCTTCTAGCTGTTTTCCCGCAAAAATAAGTCTCTGCTGGTCTGGAGGAATACCTTCCTTGTCTTGTATCTTCGCCTTGACGTTCTCGATCGTGTCACTCGGCTCGACTTCCAGTGTTATTGTTTTACCAGTCAATGTTTTCACGAATATTTGCATTCCTCCTCTCAATCTCAACACCAAGTGAAGGGTGGACTCTTTCTGGATATTGTAGTCCGACAACGTGCGTCCGTCTTCTAGCTGCTTCCCGGCAAATATCAGCCTCTGTTGATCTGGAGGAATGCCTTCTTTGTCTTGTATTTTTGCCTTTACGTTTTCTATAGTGTCACTCGGCTCTACTTCTAGAGTGATGGTCTTCCCCGTGAGTGTTTTTACAAAGATCTGCATACCGCCACGAAGTCTGAGCACCAGATGAAGGGTCGACTCTTTTTGGATGTTGTAATCTGACAGTGTGCGACCGTCTTCTAGCTGTTTACCCGCGAAGATCAGACGTTGTTGATCGGGTGGTATACCTTCTTTGTCCTGAATCTTAGCCTTTACATTTTCGATAGTGTCACTGGGCTCCACTTCTAAAGTGATGGTCTTTCCGGTAAGTGTTTTCACGAAGATCTGCATTCCACCACGCAATCTCAGTACTAGATGGAGTGTGGATTCTTTCTGAATGTTATAGTCCGACAGAGTACGACCATCTTCTAATTGTTTTCCAGCAAAAATAAGTCTCTGTTGATCAGGAGGAATTCCTTCTTTGTCTTGGATTTTTGCTTTTACATTCTCGATGGTATCACTCGGCTCCACTTCCAGGGTGATGGTCTTTCCAGTCAGTGTCTTTACGAAAATCTGCATACCACCTCTCAGTCGCAATACCAAGTGCAGAGTCGATTCCTTTTGAATGTTATAATCAGAGAGGGTACGACCATCTTCTAACTGCTTTCCGGCAAAGATAAGACGTTGCTGATCAGGGGGAATGCCCTCTTTATCTTGTATTTTTGCCTTGACGTTTTCTATAGTGTCACTCGGCTCTACTTCCAGAGTGATGGTCTTTCCGGTGAGAGTTTTAACAAAGATCTGCATTCCACCACGAAGCCTGAGCACCAGATGAAGGGTCGACTCTTTTTGAATGTTGTAATCGGAAAGGGTGCGACCATCTTCCAATTGTTTACCGGCGAAGATCAGACGTTGCTGATCGGGAGGGATTCCTTCCTTGTCCTGGATTTTTGCCTTGACATTTTCGATTGTGTCACTCGGTTCGACTTCCAGGGTGATGGTCTTACCGGTGAGGGTCTTGACGAAAATCTGCATTCCTCCACGCAGTCTCAGTACGAGATGAAGTGTGCTCTCTTTCTGGATATTATAATCGGACAGAGTGCGCCCGTCTTCCAATTGCTTTCCAGCAAAGATCAATCTCTGCTGATCGGGTGGAATTCCCTCCTTGTCTTGGATTTTTGCCTTCACGTTCTCGATCGTATCACTTGGTTCCACTTCCAAAGTGATAGTCTTACCAGTCAACGTTTTCACGAATATCTGCATTATCCTGAAATAAATAAAAAAATCAATTACAAAACAAAAATTACAAAAAAAGAAAATATTTCTACAAATGTATTGATAACAATAGACGAGAACCTTCCTCTATTGAAAGGAAACAAGTTTTAAACAGTCAGAACAACCTATTTTCAAGATGGCGGACGAATGACGCAGCTAACGAAGGTCGAATTTCAGCTATTTTTTACGTATATATTTAGTTTCGGATATATAATTTAGTAACCAGAAAACATAGCCCTTAACACATAAAACGAAACATAAAAAGATCACTTTATTATATTTTAAAATCTTATTAAACTCAATTATTATTAAAAATAAAAAAGTTCGAAACCTTAGCAACACGACGTATCACAAATACGACACAAAAATCGACACGTAATTCAAAATTACAGAGAAACAAAAGGCTTACTTACGGTTAAGAATCGCAGTACCACTTCTCTCTGTTAGTTTCACTGAACGAATGACCGAAAGCCTTTGCGCAGCGTATTTATAGAACACTTTGTCGTCTTTTTCGCTCGGTGATTCGTCGGTATTTTTCCGCAGATGACTTCATACGAAAACTCGCCAATCCCGATCGAACAAGTTGCTATTAAGGTGCATGACGTCATCGGAATGGCAGCGACCGTTCTCCCCCTTTCTAGAGAATTCTCGTTCGGGAAAGATTTTGTAACCTCGAAGATGATTCACATTTCTTTCTTTGTAAAATGAAATTTTAAAAAAATTAAATGATGTTTACGTATGGTTATCGAATAAAAATATTAAGAAATTTATATAAATAAATTTCATTTTTAAAAAAGCGAACGTTAATTTAATATATTATTTACGAATCAAATATTAATTATTATTATTTTAATGTTTATAAAATTTCAAGATTTTTATTTATTACGAATACGAAAATAAATCGAGAAATGCTTGCTAAATATGAATGCGGAAAAATGCAAACAATCGATAAACAACCGTAAAAAAAAAAATAAATAAATAAATACGGATTGCTGATAATTGATTATTCATTTTAAATATAATTATATATTTATATTTTGCGGTCAGTTTCATGTTTAAATATATATACATATATATATATATTAAATTTGTAATTAATTTTTTATTAAAAAGTTAACACTAATTGAACAAACTGTCAACAGATGGCGATACCACTAAATATTTTTATTATTGACATTAATATCATTGTAAATGAACCTAATATGAGTCGAAACTCTCAAAAACGGTATAAAAAAGAAAACACGAAATTTTACACAATACTCAATAATATAATGAAATTGAGTTTTAAATTTAGATATTATCTTTTTAATTTTTTGAAATATAATCTTAACTACAGAAAATATATTTATAGATTTTAATCAATATTATAGGCCCTAATCACTTTTATTGTTTTATATCAATGATATACAATGCAATCCTCACGATTTCGACATTTATCTAAATGATAAATTTTAATCTTGATTAGATTAATATACAAGTCGACCCCCCTATAACACTGTTGATAATTCCGTTTTATAAGAATTCCATGTTATACGAGTCACTTAGATTTTACAAATACGTGTGCCGGACTATGAACGGCTCACGTATTTGTAAAATCTAAGTGACTCGTATAACATGGAATTCTTATAAAACGGAATTATCAACAGTGTTATAGGGGGGGTCGAATGTAACTGGCGACCATCGAAATGAACTTTGCTGTTAAATTCACAACCGATATTTGTTACATAATGGAAGATTATTTGTTACGAAATTACCGACCTGCGAGTTATTTTTACGAATCGGATAATATATAATGTTTGATTATGATAATCGCGGCTTGATTAACCATTAGGTAAAACACGTACACGTAGTCAAAGATAAGGCCGGACTCGGAGGTATAGTCTTTTAGGAAGAAAGAAGGGGAAGAGGTAGTAAGGGAAAAGAGAAGGTTTAGGATGGGAGGAAGGAAGAAGAGGGGAATGGGAGGGAGGAAGGAAGAAGAGGGGAATGGGAGGGAGGGAGGGAGGGAGAAAGTTAAGAGAAGAGAGAGATTCGTGGGTGCCTGCCGGAGACCACATAATGATATAACAATGATACAGATAATCCCGCATGGATTGGATATACATTTATACGGTAGGGAGGCGACTGAAGTTATTAATATTAGGAGGATTGATACAGAGAGAGATGCCAATAAGAGACCTGTAAAAAATGATGGCGGAATCTAGAAGAGTAATAATATACAATAGGTGTGGCGGGATAGTGCAAATAATAAGTGCTACACACACGGATAATAAAACAGCATTGGGTAGCTGAACCAGAGGAGTCCAGCATAGACGAGAAACCGGTTGGGGTAAAGACCAGGCCTTTGTAAGGCCGTTCACCCGATGGTACAAATGAGTTTAACCTTAGAACCTAGGTGGGGGTCGTAGGCAGGTAGTTTGCCAGATTAAGCTTGTTGACGTAGTTTACAAAAGTTTGGAAGATTTTACTGTCTTCCATAAAAACAATTAATTGACATGGTCAGTTGTGTCCTTTCTCTTCCACAATGTTTCGAAGATGATGGCGATACTGAGTGTGTTTGGTGCATGTGAAAATAAGGTGGAAAGGGTCGTCTTCTTCCTTAGTTGCACACAATCGTATAGACCGTCACTTTTTTTAAGAAGCGATTAAGGTAGCGTTTGAAGTTACCGTGAGTTGTTAAAATCTGAGTGAGGGCGTGTGTCGTATCCAGGTAATTATAGTGGCACCTTTGAGTGACATTGGGGAGGAACTCGTGGGTGATATGGCCGGTGCTGCTACCGTCCCACTCCCTTTGCCACCAGTCCGTGATAATAGTGACGACTTCCTTGCTAACGAAGGAGATAGAACAGGAGCGTAAGAACAATGATTGGCGACAATATTAAGTTTTTTAGCAATATTATCTGCCCTATCATTACCAGGATTGCGTCCTTTGACCCAATGGAAGTTGATTTGAACAATGCCTCCAGTGCATAAATTAACTCTAGGCTGTTATGAATGATGGGAAGTTTGTGATTACCTTTAGCGAGTTGGTGTAGGGCAATCCGGCTATCACAGAGGTTATTCAAGTTTTTCACTTGAACAGATTGATATTGTTATGGATGTTAGTAAGTGCCTTCCAGATCGCTAGGGATTCAACCTGGTTGATTGAGCAATTCTTATTAAGTTTGTATGCAGCCTTCCAGAATAGCTTTTTCTGGGGGTCCTCTAGGTAGACAGCTGCATCTACTGCACCCTGATGATCGGAGCCATCTGTATAGAAGCAAATCCCGTTTGGTGATTCAGTGGGATGTAAGTTGAAGTTTGGACTGATGTTGCTGGCAGGGTGAATGATGTTTAGGTCTATACCAAGCTTCATAACTTCGTCGGCCAGGGAGTGAATCGAATCCGACAGTTTGTGGTCACTGATAGTCTTATGAATCAGGTCCGGGTTGGTGTTGGCCGTAATCGTATTCACGACAAGATTTTTTATATACTTGTACATTATCACAAGTACAATTACCAGTAGGGCGTCCGTTGGGGGTTTTATAGGATTTTGTAATAGCAATTGCTGCAGTCTGCTGCGCAGAGAGAAGTTTCTTGCGAATGTAGACTTTATTCACTGCATATCCCCAAACCTCACAGCCGTAGGTAAGGATGGGCTCTACCGCACTTTTATAAATTATCTTGCTGTTCTTACTGTCGAGGCCCCAGTAATTCCTAGCAATGCGCCTAAGGCCTTGATTGGCTGTAACTGCCTTGCTGTAAGAATAGTAGATGTGGTCTTTCCAGGTAAGTTATCACTCCAAGGTACAATTGTTAACATTTTGAATCTTTTGCCCATTGATCTTGATGGAAGACTTTTTCCGAAGAGGGTTTGCCTTTGGGAATACCATGCTGGAGCATTTGTTGTAATTGATGATTAGGTAATTTTCTTCACTCCATTTGTGCACCTCATTGAGGAGGTTATTCGTATAGCACTGGAGAGTTTCATGATTTCGATGAGACAGTAGGATGATCGTGTCATCAGCATACCCCTGTATATAGGGGTTGCCGCCATGAGTAGTGTAATTGTTTAGATTTAGGATCCCGTTATAAAGGATATTCCAGAGGAGAGGTCCCAACTTAGAGCCCTGAGAGCATCCCCTGGAAATGGTGGTCCCGTGAAGAATCTTTCCAGCTTCAATAGCCAGGGCAGTCGTTTCCGTGAGGTAGCCTTTTAGTAAGTTAATATTAAGTCATCAATAAATGAATTCTTGAATACCTTTAAATTTATATTGGATTTTAAAAACATTTTAAATCGTTTTCTTAATTAAATTTTTTATTATTCGTTTGTCTATTTTCTTTAGATCTTTTGCTGTTTAATTCTTCCGGCTTTCTAATCATGCCCATTATGGATCGGCCAGGCTCAAACGAAGACAAGATCTAACATATCTTGATCGTCCCAACATAAAAGTTTTTCAGCCCACCCGAACTCGAATCCGGGTCCTCAAAGCGGAAATTTGGTGCCATTATTGCATTGGTCATCCGTCCATTCAGCCTATTCAAATGATTTACTTGAAAGGAGAATCATCATCCTTTTAGGTCACTTACTCTCGAGTAAGGATAATTCAGTTCTAGTTTAGTCTCGAACTGAATTGTTCTGATCTGGTCTCGAATCCCTTTCGGTGGAAGCGCAATAAGCTTTCATGACGCCATTCAGAGCATATAGATATTACAATAAAATTAGCTATAAATATATTTGATTCATTATTTTTCTTGCATGATTAATATATAAAGCTCCAAATACATCAAAATATTTTCATAGATATTTCTTAATTAATACAAAAAGAAAGTCCTGTAAACATTTTACATTAATCGCTCGTGAGTCATCTAAATACATTAATAACAGTCAAAAGACATTTCGATGAGTCATGCTAATTACAATAGACAGTTAGGTAACTACCAAGTAACCCTTGGGTAATTTTTGCACAATATATATAATTTTTAAGTTCTGTTTGTAATAAAACTATGCCATTACAAAATAATACATACACACTTACTATAAACCAGGGCCTTTCAGGGATCAAGTTTTACTCTTGTAGTCAAGAAATGCAATGGAATGAATAATTTGTAAGAAATGTTTCCGAGACCACCGGCTTAAAATATCTAGATTCAGGTCAAACACGGTAGTATTGTAAAATGTATTGTAATGCTGTGTAGATTGTGTGGGGATCACTCGGTACTGAGGCCTAGAGAGCCTTTTTTAGTCTCACTGTTCCAGAATTAATGTTGCCACCTTTTCAAAATTGCTGGCCCGGATGGCAGGTCAGGTTTGTTCGAACAGAAGTTCCTGACGCATACACAATGTCATTTTACCATGCGAAGAGTAATGTGCACACCAGTTCTAAACCAGTAGGAACTTGTGTATCAGCAATCTAAATTAAGAAACAAAATAACTTATTCTGTACCACATATCTGAAGACCCAATGGGGCAGTTGGGGCTTCTTCAATTACATCTAGCAATCGCTGCACAACTTTTAATTACACTTTTCAATATGAAATGGTGAAAATTTATCAGAGCAGATTGAATTTGAGTCATGATTCAGATTCGTTTAGGAGAAGATTAAAACATTGACCTTGGAGTTGTCCCTAAATTATGTAATAATGTAGACATGGGTGTGATCGTTACAAGAGGGTGGAGTAGTTTATAATGTTACGTAATGCTAGGATCTCAACCCTAGCATTACGTATTTGTTTGCTAGCGAACCGTACTGTTTGTCACTTCTTTGTATGTTATATATATAATTAATAATTTAACATTCGGTACTCCGTGCTGTGTATTATTCCTTAATATAATTAAGGGATATGCATTATGTAATTTATAGACTTGCCCCCTTGATGTGTCTACTATTTTTTAAATTAACTAATAAGTAGGAGTAATTAATTCTCACATTTAGATTTTACATATCTAGAAACTTGTTATATATATACGGATTGAAACACCCATTTGTTTACTTTACATTATAAAATTGATATAGGTATTTGTTCTTTAGAAATAATAGGTCAAGTGCAATTTTTAGTACAGAAAGACAAGAATTCTTCATTTTTCTTTTAATTTTATTGAAATGTAAAATTATAAAATGAAATAAAAACCAAAATTGTACCCGAAACCCTGTTATAACAAAATTGAATGCCAGAAAATCGCGATCATATACAGTTTTTATGGAGTCGATACAAATTCATTTTTGTAGAAAACTTTCAAAAAAACATAGAAAATGGCGGGATAAAGAAATCTGTTAAATTCAGTTTTTTTCAAATATTTTGATTACAAACTATGAAGAATGCAATAAATATTTTAAAAATTTAGATAAATTCATAAATTGTTTTAATCTGATGCTAACCTTTTAGAATAAAAACTGCACTTGTGGTATTTAATTAAGTAGTGTTTTCTGAAAATCAATTGCTGTTTTCTACTTTAAAATTTTCATTTTTGTAATAACAGTTATACTATTTTTTTTAAAATATAATTTAGCTAACTTGAACAGGATTGTTGTTTAATAGGCTTATTAAGACAATGTATTTGCATACAATTTAATTAAAAATTTACTTCTCCAAGCTGCCTTATTGGAAGTCTTGTTTATTTACTATAAGTCTCAAAACTTTCAGCTAATGTTGCCAGGTCTGGAATTTTCGAATGATAGACTGTAAGACCCACTGTTAGGAATTTAGGACTTTTTAGTAGTGCATACATTAGTACATATGTATAGATGATACCCAAATGCCATTTTGTTATGATATTTTGGGAGCTAATAATATTTCTGGCATTATACTTGCAGCCCATCATCAAGGTGGAAATCCTAGAAGAAACAGTATTCTATCTAGTGTTTAAAAGAAAGTTATCTGATGGGTTGAAAGGTTTGAAAGATTTACTGTAAACAACCATACGACCTCCAATAAAGCAGGAAATAATATATATATCTTAATTAACAATTAACCAATTTACCTGTTCTTGATACAGATCTTAATTGTTTTAAACTGTAGATAAATACATAAATCAACATTTATTTTTAAATTTTATTTAAAAATAAAGTAAGTACTTTTGTTTTTTCTATGAATTCATTGAATACATTCATGTTTATTTTAGAATGTCAATAATTATCTATAGTTTTAAGTTATGTTAATGTATAAATTGGTCTTTTAATGAAAAAAGATCTTTCCAAAATGGAGAAATGTGTTTCGGGTATATAAAATATTCATAAAAATATTTCTTAGTTTAGAAAAGATTTTTTTATCAATAAAAATGATCCATTTTTGTACACTTTTATGCAAAAAAAAAAAACTACTGAAAACTTTTTACCTTCAGGAAACTTATGAAATATAAATTAGACATTTATATATTTTTACAAAGCAGTTATTTGAATAAGCCTAAGTTGTATGTTCTAAAGGTGATTTTGAGTTGTTAAAATTCAAATGTATAGAAATGAAGTTGTGATTGACATAAATGTAAATGTGATTTAATTTTTAAAAAATTAAGTTTTCTTTTTAACTGAATTGAACAGTATATCTTTCACTTTCTGTACAAGAAGTTCCAATTCTTTTTCTTGTTTCCTTAAGCTCTCATTCTCTTTAATTAATTGCTTTTCCTTTTCTTCTAGTTCTTTCTCTCTTTGTTTCTTTGTCTGTCGAGAACGACGAGACGATATATTATTTTTCCTTCTCATCTCATAATATTTTTCACTTTTGGAAGTAGATGCACAGTCTGTGGTTTTAGCTCTTTTGTTCTGTGGTTCGTAGTAGTCACTTCCGTCCAAGAGAATGCCCGAAGACGAGGTGGATTCGGATTCGGAAGAGTGGGGTCTAGCGCTAATACTTTCGACGGGATTGCTGTCTGCAATTCCTAGTGCATTGTTGTCCGATGAATCCACGTGCAAGATTTCTTCTGAAGTGCAAGTGGAAACAGAACAATATTCCTTTAAAATTAAAAGTGATGAATTTTAAATTTTATATGTATAAATCATTATTATTGTATTAAATTTATTATAGGTTCATTCTAATTAATAAGACAGTTGGTTCTATGAAACTAAGGATAGTTAACATACCTTGTTTAAGAGTGCATTCAGATCCTGAAATGATTCAATGTTATTTGAATCATGCAATGTTTCGATGTTATCTGAACTTTCAAAAATAGCAATATGAAAGGCTTTGGAAACAGAAGAAAATTGAGATGGAGCTTCAGAAGTTGTGATAATCATGTTAGTTTTATTATTTGGATCTTCCAAGCTAGTCAAAGGACTTGCAGACAATGTTAATATTGATTTTTCTAAAGGCTCGTCTAAATTAAATTTTTCAGAATCATCACAAGTCACATCTGATGTGGATTTTATGGATTTTGTGCATTCTGCAGAAGATAAAGTTGTTAAGTTGTAACCAGAAATCTCTTGCCTGTTGTCATCTATCCTTTCAGTTGATAAATTCATTTCATTTTCAATATCCAAGAAATCGTTTTCCATTTGCAGAAAATCATCTATAGAAATTTTAAAATACTATAAAAATATGATTGGCATTAGTTTATTAACAAGTAATTCATTGAAATATATTTTAAACAGATAACTTCCAAAGCACAAATCCAAATGTGGTAATTAGTTGACATAAATTTGAAAAATACATTGTTCCAGAACTGATCTGTTCTGTTCTTTATAAGAATAGCAGGATTTATACTTTTGAGTTTTATTTGTTTATTATAATCATTATATTTGTATATTTATTCAAATTTTCTTACACATAATGTAATTAAATAGTATACAACTTGCTTTCCATTATTTATTAGATAAAATATATTAATTAAAATAGGAAGGTTGAGGAGTTTTTATCAAAGTCAAACCCTCTAAAACAGTGGTTCCCAAAGTAGTACTACAGCCTGGGGTGAAAAGAAGCAAGTTAGTGACAGGGAGGCACTAGAGGTAGGGTACTGACCATAAACTAGGGTTCAGGTCACTGGCAACCTTTCCCTTTTCTCTGTTATAATGGGTAAGAAGAAAGGTTTCCAGATGTGGACACAAAGTGTGAAGTTCATAGAAAAATTTTCTAAAAATATTTCCAAGCCTTTCTCACACAAGAGAAAATGGGTTAGTGGACATTGGGGTACAGTTGAAGGGTATTGGATATAAGTTTATGAAACCAAGGGGTGGTGGCTCAAAAAAGTTTGGGAATCACTGCTATAAAATTATGCAATTCTCAATTCTACAGAACATCTTGCATAAATAATAGATTTACAACAGAAAAATAATTTAAAATCAGCAATAGCATTGAGATTTTGAATTAAGAGTATAGGAAAATTCATCAGTTTTGTTCAGCATCATCTTTCAAAAAAATTTTATCAGACATGGGAATGATGCAATGAATCACATCCATCACATCACACTTCTCTGAGTTGAAAGTCTTACCAGAAGTATTTTTTTTAATACTATTTGCATTTATTTCTGTCTCTTTTGAAAATCTTTTACATTGTTATAAAATTGTGTACAATGAATAAATTTTATTATACATTCATTGGCAAAAAAGTTATACACCAAGAAGTATGCATTGGAATCTAAAGAAACGTTATTAGTGCAAACGTAAGTGATTACGTCATCATCACAAATGGATAATTTCCTGTGCTATAACAGTACAATTTAAAGGGACTTTTAGTATCTTGTACGAGGTCTGTTCAAAAAATACGTGGACTGTTTGAATTGCGTGGCTCTAGTTGGTTCCAGGGTAATCCACTTGGTGTCACTAGGTTTGTACAGATTGTCTGGTGATAAAGCCGTTTTCCGATTACAGATATCGTTATTTGTTGATTAGCTACACGGTTTTTAGTAAAGTGCAATTTTTTCGTTTGTCAGATTTCAGAATGAATGACCTGATGGAGCAACAACTGGCTGTGAAATTTCGTGTTAAACTTGAAAAATCTGCGACTGAAACATTTGCTATGCTCAACACGGCTTATGGTGATGTTACTATGAAGCATACAGCATGTTTCAAGTGGCATGAACGTTTTAAGGGTGGTAGACAGTCGATTGAAGACAATGAGCGTGCTGGACGTCCTAAGGGTATTATTCACCATGAGTACCTCCCCCAAGGCTCCACAGTAAACCAGACTTACTACGTTGAAGTTTTGAAATGTCTGAGGGACACTATCCATCACAAAAGGCCAGAAATGTGGAGGAGTGGTGACTAGTTTCTCCATCATGACAATGCTCCAGCCCATTCAGCCCTCAGAACTCGTGAGTTTTTGGCCAAATACTCGATCACTGTTCTTACTCACCCCCTACTCACCTGACCTTGCTCCTTGTGACTTTTTCTTGTTTCCCAACCTCAAAAGACCCTTGAAAAGAAGATGATTTGAGACAATTCCAGAGATTAAGGCAAATGTGATAAAGGTGCTAAAGGACATTACAAAAGAAGCATACCAGGACTGTTTCAACAAGTGGCAACACTGTTTGGATAAGTGTGTGTGTTGGGAAGGAGAGTACTTTGAAGGGGACCCAGAGATGTAACTTCTACATAAATTACATTTTGTTTTATGACGTCAGTCAGCATATTTTTTGAACAGACCTCATATACCTGAATGTAAACAGTAATACAGTTGGGCATGTAGGCATACAGGTATCATATGCTATCTGTGACAGAATTTTCATAGCAACTGCCACTCTAGATCCTTCACACACACAGACACACACTTGTAAATGGCTGAAGCTAGCATCCCATCTGTTCTCACAAATGTGTGACAGACAACAAATCTAGAAACTGAGCAGGCAAAGGAAGTGTAACAATGTGATGGAGACATTCTTAGGAAACCTATGTATGGCTGAGCATTATCTTACTGGAAAATGGCTGCTTTCATACCTGTCATGAAATGCATACACATGAAGATGTAGGAATTTCTGCATGTATTGCTGTGTCATCAATAGGATGACACAGCAATACGTGCAGAAATTCCTGAGGATGATTGCTTAAAGCGTTCAAAAGTGTTTTTAAGATATTAAAAAACGATTTGCTGGATTGTTTAAAGGTTTTGATTTTTATTTATAGTGTAGTTCCAGTAAGAAAGTATTTTATTTATTTATTTAGTCATCAATAGTGTTACCACCTGTCCGGTTTTCACCTGGACAGTTCAGGAATCGACTCACTGTCCAGGTGAACTATTAATTTTGTCTGGGAATGTTGTGCCCAACCTGTCAACCTTTTTTTTTTTTCCTTTTGCTTGTACAATTCATATTCGTACACGTCTCCAATATCCAATAGAGCTAAGTCATCTGTAGTTGTTTTTCTTAATTTAGGTTACTTACGTTACTCCTACCCAATTCTCCCTAGTCCCTAACTAACTGATTTAGAACTGTCATGCACTGCACGTTATTCTTTGCATTGCAAAATGACATTGTGCATGCGTCGGAAACTTCTGTTCGAACAAACCTCACCTGCCGTCCGGGTCAGCAATTTTGAAAAGGTGGCAACACTAGTCATCAATGTCTCTCACATCATTACTAGTGGGTGAATGTCATACAAGATGGCTGTCCATACTAGCACATCAGCAGTAAGGGAAATGTAATGTTGCCACCTTTTCAAAATTGCTGACCTGGATGGCAGGTATTGTGTACGAGCAATCTAAATTAAGAAACAAAATAACTTTGCTTTAAAGAGCTAAGAAGCATAAGAAGCAAAGAAAAAAAAAAAAAATAAAGAAGGTCACCAGGTGTGACATACATTGGCACGTTGTTGTAAGATGGCAATGTTAAAATAAAGTAAATTTATAAAAATATTTGCTAGTAATTTGTTTCATCATAATTTCACAATTTCTATGAAATCCTGGACAAATTAATAGTTAACCCGTTAACCCGGACAATGAGTTAAAAACTGGATGGGTGGCAACACTACTCAACAGTAAAGGTGGGACTGAAGCTCTCACCATTGGTCCCATACATTAGTGGCAGTCTGTTCTCAAAAAGAACTAAGACTGTCTTTAATTAATTAAAGACAATACAGTCCACAGCAATCATGCTTCTCTTTCACAACACCACTGCAAATAAAGCCAATGAAGTTGTGGTGCTAATGGCAAGATATGTAGTGATTACCATGCAAGCAAATTTGGTTCTGCTAATTGCCTGCAAATGGTATGGGAGAGCCAGAGTTCTCTAGTAAGGCTTCCACCTATCTCTAGATGGTGGACAAAGACACCATTAAAACTATTGATGCTTATCTTCGTGATCAGATGATTATATCTTCTAGTGGTTTGTCTGGAGCACCCAACACTTGTCTGTTAAGCATATGTGCCCTGACATAACCACTGATCCCAACACCATCTCACAGTCAGATCAGAATGACCCAGATGGTGGGAAATTTGGCAAAATGGCCACCTTGCTTTTCTCAGTCTGATTATGCAGATTTCTCAAACTGTTTCAATTGTGCACAATGTCTTTGACTGCATCATACAGGCATGAGAAGTGTTAAAAGACCAAACAACAGGTACACTGAAAATTCTGAATGCAGTGAGTCTCTGCAAGTCTTTTTATAGGATAGTGGGGTAATGATTTTAAGGCATTCTGGTGGTATTACTTCAAGTGCAATCAGACCACAACTGTAACCATTTACATACCTACCTCAGACAGCTGTTTGCAAAGTGTAACAGTAATCACAGAATTCTCTCTGGGTACATAACTTTTTTGCCAATAGGTATATTTGAAAATTCATCATTCATTTTTACTTTGTATCTTACACTAGAAGGTTTTTGCCTGGCTATTTTATAATGAAATGTTATAAAGTAAATAGTAATAAAATGTTAAGATAACTGCCTGCAATTATACATATGATATGATAAGAATTTAATGTCTTAATTATTATTTGAATTTTTAAGAAATTCTATGAATTGTAAGATTGAATATTTTTAAAAAGATAGTTTTAAACTAAACATCAAACACTTCATAAATTCTGATAAGTCAAAGGCAAGCGAGTGTGGATATGAAGTGCAAATCTCAATGAAACTTTTACTGTTCTTAGGTGGTGACGACCTGAGTACACACAAAATATTAGGTGTAGACAACTAACCGTTTGATAATAATTAACAAAAAAGATTTTAGTGTTCATTATGAAGTGCTCAATAAGGATGACATTTCATTGCCCTGTACGGCAACCTGCTAAGACCTTCACCTACTACAATGTTGTCCATACTTTGAATCCTTATGTTTCCGGAAATTTTTATTTTGATTTCGGACTTAAAAACTAAGTATGATAAAATATAATTTCTATAAACTATTTTGTCTTGCCTATAATATCAACAGTAGTGTAATTTTCATTGTTAGTATAAATTATTGTCTTTGCTACATTATAATTCCATTTTTTAAATGTTATCAATATACAGTCTTTCGGAAAATTATTGGAATATGAAAAAATTGAATTATCATCCAAGACAATTTTGATTTTTACAATACAGTAAAGAACAAAGAAGTTTTATAGTATTAGTAAACAAATAATATTGATAATAATGTTAATAAGAAATTTTCATTTCTAATAAAGTACCTTAAAATAAATTATACAGTATTATATTCCTCAAATTATCTTCCAATGTTAATATATTATTTTCTCCAGTTCAAGTTTACTACTTTTAATAACAAAAAAAAAAACTAATAATTAGACATGAAAATGTTCTCTTATTACTATTCTTTTCTCATTAAAAACATTTTATAAAAAGTTTTAAATAATTATAAATAAGCTATTAATTGCTTATCTTCAAATATAATCTTGGAGTTAAATTTCTTGGCTAAAATTTTGAGATAACTTCCAGAAAAATTATATTCATAATATGATTTTGTTAAATTATCATCAGAACATATCTCAATTAATATAATTTCAAGACAAAGTTGTGATATTGTATGTTAAAATGTTCTCATGTCTTTTTAAAATGATCTTATACTCTATAAAAAGAAATGGGTTCTTTCAAATCTTCAATTCTCCCAATACTTTTTAACCTGTAATCTGCCTCACTCACTCAATGATAATTAATATTGCTGAGAAGTTAGGAATGTATAGTTATCAAAAACTTGTGTGTAAGACTGTTGAAAAGAATACTGCCTTTAAAGTCAGCCAAGATGTTTTATAATGTGACAGAAAAAATGCAAATATATGAAATGCTCTTATCATTTATAGATAAATTATTATGGTCGAAAGCATTTGTGGAGTAGTTAAGAATATAAATTATTATGATTAAATAATTTAAATTTTCTTAAAGTTCTAATAAGTTTAAGTACGAAACAACTTATAAAAGCAAAAAATTAACATAATGTTAGACTATATAATAATACTTAAAAAGTGTATTTCAATAAAAGTACATCTGCTATTAAAATGCCCATAATCATACCTATTGGTATTTCTGAATCCATTAAAGATTGACAATCGAAAGGGCAACAAGGTAAAAACCCATTCATTTCCTCGAGCCATTGAAATGAATGAGGCAGATCGGTAGAGTGATTTTGATCCAAATCTACAATCCATTTTTCTATTAAATCTTTTTCTTTAGCCTGCTGATAGAAATAAAAATTACAAATATAAAACATTAATGAAATCAACTTTTAAAAAGTTATAATTAATATTCAAGTTCAGACTGTTTATCTAAGATTAGTTTTATTATATGAACAAATCCTTTTAGCAATTCTAATTGCATTCTTTGGATTCTATAATTTTAAAATTAGAAATTGTATAGTTCTAGAGATGTAGAACTTAAAAATGATTGAAACCAATCTTAGGATAAATAGTCAGCTTTTTAAAAATGTTTTCACCTATCTATACAAAAACATTCTACAAAAAAAGCTTGATTAAATTTGCATATCCTGAAATTTAACTTTATCTTATCAGTATAGCATTTATGTATAATATACAGGGTAGCTCAAAAGTTAGTCCAGAGCAACACAAGGGTATCTGATGCCCCTAGGCAAAGAAAATGTAGGTGCACCTGTACATTGTCTATATATATATATACATCATCATATTCACACAAACATATATATACACCCATGCATGTGAATATTTATAAAAATAATATCATTATGAACATTTTTTAAATTTTCATTAATTAACACTAATTAATGATCCATCTTTTCTTTGCTATGAGTACGGCCGGCACCCCAAGGTGATCACCTAGATTTGCCTTATAGTAAAAATGTCCCTGAGTCAGTTAACCAAAATATATTTTAAAAATTGCTTTAAGGATAGTTAAAACTGGTTTGAAACACGTGTTCTATTTATTAAAAACAGCTGTAATATAAACAACATGCAGCTGTTCCAAACCAGTTTTAACTATTCTTAAAAATATCTCCCTTAACTGACTTTTGGGCCACCTGTGTATCCTGTGCGTGTGTGCATATACGCACATACAAATGGATAAAAAAATAAATCATTCATTTTTAAATAAATGATAACAACTATAAATATAAAAAAATATCTATGAATATCTGATATTGTAGTTTAAAAAATAATTAAATCTCTACAAATTAAAAAATTTAAATATCATTTACGGTTGTTTGGTAAGGTTATCAAACCGTATACACTATGTTTGTGTATGTATGCCTTACAGCCATTTTTAGATTATCAAAAACTGATTTTTTGAAATATAGAATGAAAAAGAAGTTAATGTTGGATAATAGAAAATTTAATCCACAGAATACAAAGAATTAAATTTGTAATTAAAAAAAAATTCTTTAATATTTGCTTTTATTTTTCTGTTCTACTCAAAATATTTATTGATATGTTTATACAGTCAATTGACTTCTTAGCAGGGGCGGATCCAGAAAATCAGAGTTGAAATATATTTATTTATGAAATGGTATTGAATGACAAACTTTACATCGAGTATGAAAAAACATAAGAAATAAAGAATTATTAACAAAAACTTATAAACGATCAATTATGTTACATTGATTACAACAAAACAAATCTTATAACTGAGATGGGTTAATAATAATAATTTTGGGCACAGAGCCCAAACGGTTAGGGTTGAAAGTTGAAATTTGGTACATAATTAGGGTATGTCACAAGAAGGCACACTAAGAAGGGATTTTTGGAAATTCCTTCTTAGGAATTAAGGATACTTCTTAAATTCCTTCTTAGGTTAAGGATCACCTTGAACTCGGATTCTACTGTACTATTTTAGATGCAGTTTTTTGCGTTTTTGCGGGAATTCGAACATATTTTTAGACCTATCTAAAAATTCTCTAATTAGTCTTGGAAGAGAGTGAACGTAATTCTTGCACCCAGTGTAAACAGGTAAGATCGACTATAATTTAATAATCTCAATCTTCGCTATTGTTGTTACTTTTTGCCCGAGCAACGCCAGACTCATCTGCTAGTAATACTATAAATCAGCGATTCCCAACCTGTGGTACGCGTACCCCTAGGGGTACGCGATAGGTTGTTTAGGGGTACAGAAAAAAGTTAGCTATTATGGCAGAAAAAATAATATATTATGTATCACAAACTAATAGTATTAAAAAATTATTAGATAAATAATGTTCCTTGCAACAATCACAACTTTATTATACATTTTTTCTTTTAGTTTTTTTTTCTTTAATTTAAAGTTACAATATGTAAAATTAACAATACG